GAGGGGGGGGGGGGGGGGGGGGGGAAGGAGAAAGGAAACTTAAGATACAGAATGCTGTTAAAGATAGGAAAGAAATGAACTAGAAAATGAAATTTTGTACATAGTCATTCAATTATATAAACTGTAGGTTTTACTTGTGATAGTAGGTGATAAAAAAACCAGATGTAAGTGGGATTTTTTTAATTGACAGTGTTCCTTCAAATAAGGAGAGTTATTTTGCATTAACATTCTCATGGGCCATTTATACTGAAACAAGTTTCTGTAAAGTGCAATTAGCTCAATACCCAATGAATACTTTCTTTTAGTTACAAGTCAGTTACCTTGTGGTTTTTGTCAATGTTTTGGTGGTTTAAAAATAGATTTGAAGCTGATAACAATGAGAACACAGAGATACTGTGGCTCAAAGCTATCATCTGGAATATCAACTGATATGTGAAAAAAATAATTTCTGAAAGGCAAAGAACGGCAGTGAACTATGTTAAGGGATAATTTGATTAGGCAACCTCCTTTCAAAAGAGCCACTGTCATCCTCAGTCACTATAAAAACAAGCATGTTCTTACCTACAAGGATCATTCAAACAAGGGGACTTTTCAATCCATTTGTGGGTTACTGTTTATTATTAACTTCCCTTCAGTTTGGACTACATGAATATCAGAGAAGTGTTATGTTTTCAGGATCTCTTTACCACAGCGATCAGGTTGAAAATACAGCAGAGGAATGTTTAAATCTACATTTCAGTATATTGAAAATCACTGTGAAGATATCCGCTTGTTTACGTTTTTGTAAAACCTAGGAGATTTATCTGGAATTGCTTGGGTCCTTGCGGGCCTGGCGATGAGGGGTTCACTATGCAGGCTGCTTTGGGGAGAGAGGACTACCCCAGCCCTTTGTCAGCTTGGGGCCAGGTGACAAGCACCTCTTTGTAGCCACTGCTGCACCAGTAGGCATAGCCAGGGAAGGGGTGCATGTCCTCTGGCTCGGGCAGGTCCAGGCTTATCTGCCCCATGGTTCCCCAGCCAGAGTGGGGAATGCAGTAAACTGTGCACTTTCCCCTCACACTCTGATGAAGACGAACAGCCAGCAATATCCTTGCAGGAATCTGGAGGTGTGAGTGAGCATCAGCCTACCACCCCGCCCTCTCTAAAGGGCACCTAGAGGGTGGAAGGCTCAGAGCTATGGCAGTCCTGGATGGGGATAGCATGCCCCCAGTCAGCCTTTTTCACCTGGCTAGTGATTGTCTCTCTTCTGTTTGGTTTGAAGAGAAGTAATCCTATTCCAGAACATTTCATTTTCCTGGAACAACCAAACCCTTTTCTTGCTTTAAGTTACAAGAAGAGGAAGCTGCATACTAAATAGGGTGGTCCTGGCTCTTACCATTTAGTAAGAATTCTTTCACAAACTCACTCTCAAATATATAGTAGATTTTTCTACGATCTAAGTTTTCTGCCAAATTTGAATTCAAGGATCCTTTCTCAGAGATAACTAATACCTATAGATGTACTGAGTACAATTTTGTTTTATCTTTATTGGGCAGACTTAATGAAGAAAAAAAAAGAACTCTGCACAGCCCCCTAAACCAGAGTTTGGGGGACTGTCCTTGAGCTCTTCTGAAGAGATAATTTCTAATGAATCATCACATTTTACCTAACTAGAGCCTGGAGAGAAAAAAAAATACACATTCCCGATAGGTCTATCTGCCTTCCACTATTCTAGAATTTCAGGAAGTGACACTGGCTTGAATTCAAAGATAACAGCATTGCCATGTGGGGATTAATGCGGACTTATGCCACAGAGGTAGAAAGTTCTACCTGCACTGGAGCAAATTTATATATACAGAAACCTGAAATCATTCACAGCCAGAAAAGACTTGATTCTGCAGCCAGGTGGTGGCAGCCTATATTAAATGGTTCCACATAGTATAATTTCCTAATGCTGTGGTGATGCAAAAGCCTTTTCCTGGCTTCCTACATAGCTGTGGCATAGCATTTTCATGTTATCAATCACTCAGACTTTCCACTACAATTGCTCCAGTTAACTTCCTTTGCTAAATTTGTCACAGGTCATTCATAAGCCCAGTGACCTGAGAGAGAGAAACTGGGGGATGGCAGAACTTTTAGGGGCTACTGTATCAATGTGAGAGAGAACTTTTAGGGGCTACTGTATCAATGAAGAAAAAAAAAGGAGCATTGGTTCAATCCATCTCCTCAACTGGCATATTGTAAATAGGTCCATCACTCCAGTGAGATAGGGGTACTCCAACCTCACACTGCAGCACTTATGCTAAGTTTATTGCAAATATATCACTATGGCCTCACCAGCCCCTAATCCTCTTCCAAATACTAGACCCAGATTGTGACCATCTATATTAGCAGAGCCAGAAATGATTCATGATTATTATGAAAGTTATACTTTCCTAAGACAACACAGAAGAATGATCTGTATGGATCTGGACTTGGAGATATGGGTTCTTTTTATATACCGGTTTTAAAAAAAAGTTGTTTTAAAGCTAATGTTTATTTAACAGAAAAAGGAGTTGCTACCTTAGTCAGTTTTTAAAAATCTTTATAACTTTCGTATATTCAGGATATGTACTTTGGGGAGATGGCAGACATGGTAAAGAGTGAGAGGTGGAAGAAAGTGACATTTACATAATATGCAGAAAGAAAGCTTTATTTCTGAAACTTGGATGCTGGTCACCCATCAGAACATAAATCAGGTTTTTATTCACTTAGGGTATGTCTACACTACCACCCTAGTTCGAACTAGGGTGGTTAATGTAGGCAACCGAAGTTGCAAATGAAGCCCGGGATTTGAATTTCCCGGGCTTCATTTGCATATTCCCGGGCGCCGCCATTTTTAAATGTCCGCTAGTTCGGACTCCGTGCCCGCGGCTACACGCGGGACGGACTAGGTAGTTCAGATTAGGCTTCCTATTCCGAACTACCGGTACACCTCGTTCCACGAGGAGTAACGGTAGTTCGGAATAGGAAGCCTAATCTGAACTACCTAGTCCGTGCCACGTGTAGCCGCGGGCACGGAGTCCGAACTAGCGGACATTTAAAAATGGCGGCGCCCGGGAATATGCAAATGAAGCCCGGGATTTGAATTTCCCGGGCTTCATTTGCAACTTCGGTTGCCTACATTAACCACCCTAGTTCGAACTAGGGTGGTAGTGTAGACATACCCTCACAGTACAAAGGATGTGGGCAACCCCAAACAAAACAGTAAGAGGCACATAACTGAAAACTTCTATATTTTCCTGTTCAGACACACTTCAGATACTAGTTAGCTTCACACCAGCTTTTTACCTTCCTCAGAGAAAAGCAGAGGTCAGAGTCCTAATGAAAATACTATCACATGTTTCTATTATTAATTAAAAGGTTCAACTGATATATTGAAACTAACTTCTAAAGCTTACAACATTTTTATGGACCTGAACCTTAGTGAGAGCTTTGCTAGTGATTATGATGGGCATAGAGTCAGGCCCCATAGAACATCTCTCTATGCTAGTGTTAAAGCGGTCTGCAAAATCACTTGGAGAAACCTGTTAACTGGCCACGCCACTTTGTTTATTTACTGGCACCGCGGTCATGGAGCCCAAAAACAAACCAGCGTGGCCAGGTAATAGGTTTCTCAAAGTGGTTTTGCTCTGTGCAGAAAGGATGCTGATCAAGTGTTTTGGCATAAGTGGCCCTAAACTATTTTGGGATTCAGTAATCAAGAACAATTAAGCCATGGAGTTTTAAAGTCTAAATTAGTTCACCTTGGCTAAAAAGAAATACATTTACCTGGTGTTGTCATGATGAGGATTAGAGGAAGTGGCAGCAGCTGACCCACCTCGTAACACAGGCCTACGGCAGGTTATTGCAGACAGAAGGCACGAGACAGAAGCAGGAAACATTGTAAACACAGAGAAGAGGTACAACAAAAGAAAATAAGGACAAGGAAATGTCAAAATATTTTCAATTATATTGTATGGTATTTCAATACAATATAATATCTAGTTAATAGTCTGTAAGCTGTATTTTCAAAATATCCCATATTACATTATTTTTATTTAATATAGCACTAACAATAAAAGTATGCAGCTATTGTAACAACCTAGTCATTCTTGATGGAATAAATTAATTTAGGGGAATATATGCTTTTGCAAAACAAGTCTATGAATAAGAGTTCTTGACACAGGCTTTTAAAATTCTAATAATGGGAAACAACCTTAGTTCCTCCTCTTTACCCATTCACTTACTATCTTTCTTACCTACCTATTTCTTTAGTTAACTCTTTCCTTTCTGTCCTCTTCAGCTCTATCTTAGCAGAAATTGAAAAGCCAATGCATCCCAGATTGCAACAATTGTGCCTAGTACTCTCATGGCTGCTCAAAAGACACAAAGGCCCTGATTTCCAGAACTGCTGAGCACCCACAATGCCTCATAACTTACCAGGAGTTGTGGACATTTGGCATCTCTCAAAATGAGGCTATAACTGTAATATCTATGATGTGTAATCACTTTTCTAAGGGCTTGGGATCTCTGTTTTTCACTCTTATCTCATTAGTGGCAACTGCAGACATCTGCATGACATGCTAGTCCCAATCATATACAAGGCTGTATAGCAGTGGTCTCCAACCTTTTTAAGCATGAGATCACTTCTTGAATTTAAGTGCAATCCAGGATCTACCTCAAACCCAAACACCCTTGCCCTGCCTCCTTCACACCCCTTCTCCCAGGCCTCACCCCTGCTCACTCCTTCCTCTCTCCCCCATCGTCGCTCACTTTTATCAGGCTGAGGGTAGAGTTTTGGGGTGCAGGAGGGATTCAGAACTGGGCCATGATTCAGAATACAGGCTCCAGCTGGGCACCACTTACCACAGGTGGCTTCCGGATGGTGATACAGGGGGCTAAGAGAGGCTCACCCCCTACCCTGGCCCTGCACCACTCCCAAAAGCAGCCAACAAATACTCTCCATCCTTACTCCCCTGTTTTGTAAAAATGAGGTACAGGATGGAGGGAGGGGCACCCTGACATCAGCACTCCCCTTCCTCTTCTTCCTGTGTTCTGCCCAGCAAGAAAGAGGCTCCCAGGGGTGAGAGGCACCTCCAAGGCTGAAGACAGGAGCAGCATGACAGTGCTGAGAGGGGCAGATGAAGTGCTGGCACTTAGCCTCCTGGCCAAACCTTTCAGGATCATCTGTCAAAGGTTCCTATATCTACCAATAGAGCCCAGTCTACTGGTTGGTGACCACTGCTGAATAGTAAGACTAAAGAATCTAGGTGCAATGACCTAAGCAGAAATGTGAGGACAAGAGGATACACGCAGCCCACAGATGTGGTGCTGAGAAGGCTGAGAAAATACTTTCTGAAGGAGTAGAAGTGAGCAGCAGTGTGCACAGATGATCACACAAAAACCTCACAATCAGTAGTTTTATTTCAAGATGAAGAAGATTGAGATGAACAAGCAGGATTATGCTGAAAACCTTGCACTGTGCTTATTTGCACTAGGCCTGGCTCTGATCAGTATCATCAGCAATAAACCCACCTCATTCAAAATTTAAAAAAAGTTTCTATAACGTATTCCAAATACTAGTCAGCAGAAAGTAAAATCAGCGCAGAAAATTATTTTACAAAAGAAACCAAAATGAACACAATAGGTAGCATTCTTCCCCAAAAGGAAGTCTATTGTACTTAACTATAATTTAAAGGTTCTAATATTTCTTCTTCAGAATACAGAATTTATTTAGTAAGTTTATAAAACCATAGGAACTGTCATTCCTCCTCAGACCAGTGTTCCATCTAGTGCAGTATCCTGTGCTGACAGAGGCCAGAACTAGATACTTCTGAAGAAACTGTAAAAAACCTTGTAATGGGCAACTGTGGAACACACTGACAGAGAAGTTTCTTTCTACTCTAGGCAGTGAGGGGTTAGTTTAAACTCTGAAGCATGAGTTTTGATATCTCTTACTCATTTCTTATCCCACATAGTATAGTTTTGGCTATTGTCATTATTCTGAAAAATTTTCAGAAGATTCTTGGCCTACATAATCTGTGACAATTTAGTTCTGCAGCGTCTGCAAAACCTTGTTATTTAACTGATCTAACACAGACTCCTCTTCTAGAGGATTTTTCTAGGATGTAGCTATCGGGCGGGGAGAGCTACACCACCATAAATTCTAATCCAAACTAACAAGTTGATTTACTACTTATTTAATTGGGGACAAATCTCTAAGGCCCAGATGTTGGATGTTACTCTGTTCAATACTGCAACACTTAACTACATTAGGAGCTTAAATGCCTAACTTCAGCCTTGCAATGATGAGCACAGCAAGGCCTAAATACCTTTCAAAATCTGAGAGCTACACCACCATAAATTCTAATCCAAACTAACAAGTTGATTTACTACTTATTTAATTGGGGACAAATCTCTAAGGCCCAGATGTTGGATGTTACTCTGTTCAATACTGCAACACTTAACTACATTAGGAGCTTAAATGCCTAACTTCAGCCTTGCAATGATGAGCACAGCAAGGCCTAAATACCTTTCAAAATCTGGGCCTTAGTTTTTCCATCCAGGTCAAATGAAATATAAATCTGCAAGTGAATTAAATTCCTGGGCAAACTGGTTTGGTAGAAGAATCACCTGTAATTTACCATGCCACAGAGAAAGCAGTGATCATTCAAGGTTCTAGTTTGATATCCCTGGAAATCCATGCCCTCACTCTATACACAGAAAAGTAGCAACAGCATGCTGATCCACCAGTGCTGGTTTGCAGGCCTGAGTGCCTTAAGTTTGATCTGTAAATCTTGGGGGGAGCAAGGTGAGGAGGGAATGATGCAGGGCCACAGGAGAGCTGGAGGTGGGTTGGGTGAGAAGCTCTGCTCTGATTAATTGCTTACAATACAGCTCCTCTGTGATGTGGGCTGACAGACTACAGGCCGACCACTTAAGCTGCTCTCTCCCGAAGCTCCTTTCTGCACAAAATGTGCTAATACCTTGGCAGAGACATTAGGGGTATGATTACACTGCAACGACTGTCCAGGGCTAGTAGAACTTGGTTAGCAGAACCTTGGTTTGTTAACCTAGGGCTTGAGCATCTACACTCATTTGTAACTCCAGGCTATGAATTGTTGAACTCTGGGTCCCAGCTTGAGGTTCCAGTATCTACACTAGGGATGTAAATAACTAGTCGACTAGCCAATAAGTATAAGCATATCAGACAGTCGAGTAGTGACTCAATTAGTCGCTCTGCCCCCCCTTGCTGCCTCTATCAGAGACTCAGTCTATTCTATCAGGTTTTTGCGGAAGAGGAAATGCAAATGAAGCGCTCATTAGCAGGGCTTGACAAATCCACTCGCCCGTGGCAAGTAGATTTTACCAGCTGGCGAGTGCAGGGGCAGACTGGCCCGGTGGGGCGTTGTGAAGGGCTGGCGGAAGCCCGCACTACGAGCGGCACGGCCTCATCTGATCCGCCGGCCAGCAGAGGAGCAGAGCGCCGCAGAGAAGGGGGAAATGCGGCGATTCTTGCCATCAGGCTGCCCATGTGCAACTCCGGCGTGAAGAGGCGGGGCGGGATGCCAGGACGCTGGCATGACGTGGCTCCGCTGATTTTAAAGAGCTGCGGCAGCTCAGCTCTGGCCGCGTGTCCCTGGGAGCTGGCTGTGGCGCGCGGCACAGCCAGAGCCCGCCCCGCCAGCTCCAGTCCTGCCATGGCCCCAGCCCCCCTTTGTCTCCGCACCGCTCGTTCCACATGCCACCCCTGCTCCCCGGACCCCCTGCTCTCCCTCTTTCCTGCGACCCTCTGGCTCTGCACCGCCCTTGCACCCTGTCCCCCGATCCCTCCCCCGCCAAGCTCTGTGCTGCCCATTCTCTGCACTGCCTCTAGATCCCGATCTCTCTGCCCCTCCTGTTCCCTGCGTCCCATTCCCCGTGCCTCCACCGCATCCTGCTTCCCCCGATCCCTGCACCCCCAGCTCTGTGCTCTCTGCACTGCCCTGTGCTGCCCATTCTCTGCACTGCCTCTAGATCCTGATCTCTCTGCCCCTCCTGTTCCCTGCATCCCATTCTCCGTGCCTCCACTGCACCCTGCTCCCCCTAATCCCTGCCCCCTCCCAGCTCTGTGCTGCCCATTCCCTGCACTGCCCCTAGACCCCGATCCCTCTGCCCCCCTGTTCCCCATGTCCCATTCCCCGTGCCTCCACCTCACCCTGCGCACCCCTCCCCACTGTTCCCTGCACCCCTCTGGCTCTGTGCTGTCCCTTCACCCTGTTTCCCTTGTGGGTCAGAAGTGAGGGGTGCTTGTCCAGAGGGAGGGGCTGGACAGGGCAGGGAAAAGACTGCTGTGACCCAGCAGCGAGTGAAAGGGGGAATTCACTTGAAGAGGCTTTGCCTTTATGGAAAAAAATGAATGAAAATACTGTTTGCTATTTATAGGGCTAAAATGACTGGACAAAAACGAAAACCAAACAAAACCAAACCCATTGCAAAATACAAACGTGTAAAAGACAACAACAACAAAAAAGGGGGTGGGGGGGGGGGGCGG